ACAATCTCATTCATGCAAACGTTCTAAAAGAGATACATACATCTATAATTTCTCACCGATCTATTATTCCACGTTCAATTTAAAAACAAGGAAATGATCATTTCATGGACTTTAAAATAAAAAAAAAAACAGTAGATACTTAGAAATTCATAGGCTTCATTAAGATCAATATCATAACAGAACTTAGGTTTCGTTCATTCATAGGCTTCTTCTCTCAGTTTCCTATTTTACCTCTCTGTTTCTCTCCCCGATGTCTCTTATCTCCCGATCATCATCATCAGTTCATCATCGTCATCAATTAGCCTGTCGAAATCTGCTTTCCTTGATTTTTGTTGCTAAGCATGCACCTACGAAACCCTAGAGCCGCACTCCGCCCCCGAATGTCTCTATCTTTTTTGTTCAATTTTTTTGGAAAAATCCAAAGGTCGAAAACGCAAAATCCTAACGAGACATATATACGTGGGAAGATACCAAAACGGTGTCGTTTAATTCTGGGCCTAGTTTTACATGTAGGCTTGATTTTTTACCTTTGAAAATCTGGGTTTTGGTCCCGACAGGCCTATTATATTATGTCGTATTATTAATTAGTTGTAACTGGCTTATAATATTTAATTTAATAAATTAAAATATATTATAATATTTAATTTTAATTTATTAATATATTAATATAAAATTAAATTAAAATAAAATAAATTTAATTTATAATTCGATCGAAATAAATATTATATCTGATTAGTGAGGACTGATTTATAATATTTTAATTTATTAATAAATTAACGTAAAATTAAATTATCTTTAAAACTCTTTTGAGGCAAAATTTGAAATTCCACAACTGAAAAAACCGTTTCTTCTAAGCAGACCATTAAAACTTCCGCCTTCATTGCTTAATATTCGGATCGTTTTTCCCTCAACAAGAACTTCTCATTTTCAAGATTATCGCTCAAAATTCCATACTGCTTCCATCATTTTCTTCGTTTGATTTTCTCTTTTTTCAAGTTTATATCAAATGAAGATTTCTTCAATCCTCCTCGCAACTAATCTACTGCAGTTAAAGCATCAATTTCAAATGAATCAAACTATATTTTTATGTTTTGAATCTGATTGTTGATTGACATTGTAATGCTTTCAAGTTTGAAGAAATTTGAGTGTATATCTTGCATTTCAGTTGACGAGAAAGAAAATCCAGCTTAATTGAGCGCGGAAACAACAAGTTTTATCATTACATTGAAGCGGATCGTGTCGTTTATCAATCACCGGTTGGTTTTTTTTTTTTTTTTCTCTTCTTGATCTCTAGTTTTAGTGTTGAATTGAATTTTACAATTGATGTTGCGTATGATGCTTTTTCTTTGTTCATTGACTGTAATAGTTGATTAAATTCATTACGTTGAACTTTAAGTTCCAGTTTCCTTGCTTTCTGTTTGATTTTTGAGTTTTTTTTTTTTTTTTTGGGTTTTAAATTCTTTTAGTACCAAAAATGGACAGGATTAAACCGGTTTACACTAAGCAAAAAAGCTCAATGCCAACTACACCGGCGGCGACGCCGGGAGCACCGTCTTCGCCGATGATTTCTCCAATGCCACGGAGGCACGTGCGGTCAGGATCAGTGGCCGGAGGGTCGAGCGTGAGGAAAGCGCAGACAAAGGCGGCGGCTCAGAGGCTTGCTGCCGTAATGGCGCATAAACCGACCGATGAAGACGTCGATGAGGATGACCTCTCCTTCGATTATAATGCCACCGGCACGGCGGGTATTGGACTCGCCGGTGGGCGAGCAGTGCGACCTCGCTCCCCTGTGGTAATTCACTTCCATAATTTAGATTGCTTTGTAAGTTCCGGTTTTGGCTGTACCAAGAGTATTAATCAAGTTTGTTTGCCACCACGAATTGGAACTTTCAAAGGTTATTGACAGTTCTGTTTAACATTTATATAGTGCAGCTGTGTTGCATGTAATTCTTTCTTGCTTGTAATGAATACTTTTGACCAAGATGGTAAGGTTTTGTATTCTGTGAACATGGAGTGTCTTTTACATGAAAATTTATGGTGATGCATTGATTATTAGAGTAATGGTTTGTGGTGTTTGGACATGAAAATTACTTAAAGATAATATTTGACTACAGGGAGGTGTAAGTTACACAATTTTTCTTTAGGAGGGAGACATAAGAAATTTTGAGAAGAGACTAAAAGGTCTTATTGATGTGGATAATTATAAAATACAGTATTGTAGGAGAACCATGACTTCGTGTTGACGAGTTGTATGACATGGAATTTCATATCATAAAGTGGATGGTGCATTGACTTTCACCCGCAGACTTTGTTCCATAGTATCAACATATTCAGTTCTAATATTTTTGGATTTCCTTGTCTCACTATTATCATTAATTTTACTTCCTGTTCTATTTTTTATTTTTTATTTAAATTAATGTCCTGTTATCTCCATTGAAGTGCATCTTAATGTATGGAAAGTCCATTGGTCTTGCTCGCATGATGAACTTTATGACGGCACTTTTAACACTGAAGTTATAACATGAAGTGCAGACGAGAACAACACCAGCAAGGCGTCAGCAAGTGACATCTCAACAACTGGCTGATGAGGATGTTGAAGATGATGACCTTTCATATGATTATAGTCAAGCAAGACCAAGTATTGGGCTTGCTAGCGGACGGGGAACCCGATCTCCCTCTCCTATGGTAATTAGCCTATTAACTACTTCAAATTGTTAGCTCTGGATAGGCTCCTCACTCATTGCTTTGGTAATAGAAACATCGAGCATGAGGACATTCAAATTTTATTTTTCAGTGTGACAATCCATCTATGCGGCATTATAGTTCTTTGTGGTTATGCTGTTAGACTTTAGAGACCTACATCTAATATTCTGTCCTTCTACACAAAAATAAAAAATTTAACTACCAACATGCTTCTGGTTTTTCCTTCCTTTCAGACCTATTATGATTTACCAAAGGCTTGGGCTTATTAATCTCCTTAAATTAGAGTTCTTTAAGAAAATCCAAAGACAAATTTTTTCCATCTCTTGTTCTCAAACTAGATGGCTTTATGTGGACTCTCACCAAGGAATGGAATAACTACTATTGAGAATCATAACTACCCCCCATGACAGTAGCAAATCCCAATTACAAAGTCAGATACACAACCAACAATTTCAAACATAAACTGACACATTCAAACATAAAACTGTCCAATAATAATCATGATAAACTTCCCATAGAACAGCCATAATAATAAACAATACAACTAACATGCAGGGCTTTAACTATTAATCTAATCATGCTTTTTTTCCCCATGAGTGAACCTTCTATAGGCCTGGCTGTGAATGGATTTTTGCTTCTTTAAGAATTGTGTAACATCATCCCCACCCTCAAAAGGGTGGTTCCTCATGGCGACAAGTGAGAATACCGAAGATGGAGCTCAGAAATAAATTCTTAAAAAGCATCTTTAGGGGAGACCCTCCCAATGGATCAAAGCTTCATGTCATCATGCTCTTGATTAGTAATCCAAAATAACTTCTGGGAGAGGAACAGGAACCCCTTGATTAATAAGAGACAAGATAGGAATTACAGATTCCATCTTCATGAAAACTCTTTATGCAAGAGAGATGAAGTACAAATGAATTTTGGACTGAAGAGGAAGTTCCAAGTGATAGGCAATTGGCCCAACTCATTCCAGCACCTAAAATGGTCAATACAAGCAAGGAGCCAGCTTTTTATTGCATTTAAATCTGAAGGAAACATCAATAAGATCAAACTATTAATGGCAAAGGGCCTGTATAATAGTCTCCAGTCGAAGTTCCATATCAACTGTTGCAATTTTAGATAATCCAAGACAATTAGAGAAAAGCCTGAGTGATGGTCGTCCATACAGAACCTCTAAAGGAGTAGCTCACAAGAAGTGTGGAAGCACATGTTGTAGAAGTATTCAGCCCAAGACACCCAATATATCCATTTACGAGGCTAATCACTAATGAAGCAGCACAAGTACATCTACAAATCTATTCACCACCTCCCTTTCTCCATCAGATTAAGGGTGATTGGTTGGACTAAATGCAAGTTTGGCTCCATTTAATTAAAATAGCTCGATCCAAAAGAGACTAATAAGAGTCAGATTTCAATCGCTCACCATAGGTTCAGCTAACCTATATAACTTGAAAGTAGAATAAAAGAATAGATAAGCAACCAAGATAGCAGTAGAAAAGTGAGAAAGGAGAATGAAGTATGCTGTCAGAAATAGCAAGCCTTTGAAAGTGTATTTAAGGCATAGGAAAGAGAATGAGGAGACTGTAATAGGTCCCACTCGATATTGGTTTTGTAATCAAGCATTTTAGTGGGGAGCTGGGGTAGGTAGAAGATTGTTCTTGTTAATTCAAACTGTTGGAATTCCATGCAAATAGTGGATGGTCTCCATGTATGATCTGCTACTCCATGAGCAGTGGAGAGATGTTTTAAAGCTATAACAGTACTTGGGAAATGTTTAACTATTATTACGGTGGTGTCTTTTGCTTCTGACTTCGGCAGCTGCTCAATGAAGTCTAAGGATACATGAGTCCAGGCTTGAGTTAGTACTGTCAGAGGCTGCAATAGTTCTAGTGATGGGACGTTCTCTATTTGAAATTATCTGGGAAATTCAAATTAAAACAGTTCAAATACAAAGAAAGGCTCAACTGGGCAACAGAAATGGCTGCGAATGTCTTGGAGTCTTCACATTGCCTTGAAAAGACATACGTGAAAACATTCTTATGCCCAACTCGATATTCCACTGTAAAGCAAAATCCAAGCGACTTACTGATCCAGTATTGCTACGGAGAAGTACTAACTCTCTATTCCAACAGAAACTTGAGGCTTTAGTGGTCCATTCTAGAAACCTATTATTTCTTTCTCATAAGCAGGAAGATGAACAAGACATTGAGCGAGTGAGTGAGTGAAAAATGCAACATGTCTTCCTTGCAACTGCAACAAAGCACCATCACCTAATTTTGAGGCATCAATCTCAAACGCAAAAGTCGAGGGAACTCTTTAATAGGCCAACATCGGGGCTCTGGACATGGCTTAGTCAAATGCTACCTAGCTTTATGAGTCTCAAAAAAGAAAAAAATTCTTCAGCATTCTAGTTAAAGGGAGCGGCAATGGGACCATAATCTTGAATAAATTTCCGATAATAACCTGTTAAGCCAAGGAAGCCCCTTAACATGACTTTGGGTGGATAATGCATTGATTCTACATGTGATCTATTTTCCATGACTGCAGACACGTTTATACAATTTTCGGTTTCTGATCGTAAATTCTCAGAAATCTCTTTTTTTTTTTTTAACTACATCTCACAAGTATCATCATTTTAATTTTTGAACTTAATCTCTTTTTTATATTCTCCCCTGATATAGTTGTGTGAAGATCTCTTTCTATATTATCCTTCACATGTTGAAATTTATGATGCAGAACAAAACCATCCCTCAAAGGCGTCAGCAAGTAACATCTCAAAAACGGGCAGATGACGATAGTGAAGATGATGACCTTTCATATGATTTTAACACAGTGACTAGCACACCAAGTATTGGGCTTGCTGGTGGAAGAGCAATGCGATCCCATTCTCCTATGGTAATCAAACTATTACTTGTTATAATAATATTGAACTCTGGTTAGATTGGTGTTAGTGAAGCTAATATTATTAGAAGCATAAAGTACTCTAGCAGCCGAGTGAATTTATCATGTGATGGTCTATAGCATAAAGTACTTATTATGAGACTCGTAGTCATCTTCTTTTGCATTGTGATTTGACCTAGAGAATTTGGTCGTGTTTTGATATTTTTGGTATCTTTTTGTCTTGTCATTGTAACCTTGAGGGGTTTCTTCTTCAGCACTAAGTTTTGGCAAGAAAAAGGAGAATAAGGTTCTTTATATAGGGGCTGTACTTGTTGGCTTGTGGTTGCGGGTGATTTGGTTAGAGAGAAACACGGATTTTCATGGATCAGTTATCTCTGTTTCTGCTTGTTCAGGATAAGTTGACTTCCTGGGGATCTATGGACATTTTAAATAGTATTCTTTATCTTTCTTGAGTAGGAATTGGCCGATAATCCTTTTCTGAGTGTTGTAGGACTCTCCTTTTATTTTGTTTTATTTTTAGCTGGGAGGATATCTAATCCTCTAGTTATTGAATTCTTTCTTCTCCTAATAATGTTGCGTTTTTCGTTTAAAAAAAGTTTGTTCTAAAACGGCTAATGAGTAACTTGTGGAAAAAATATATATTGTACCACAATACTAAATGGAAATGTGATGTCAGGACAAGTTAATGTAAGATAGTTCCATTTTCCAACATTTGACATCTCTTAGGGTAAGTTACAGATTAGTCACCATTGCACCAACTTTCCAGTTTCCTTTAGGAGGTTGAGGACATACATCTTCTTGAGAAAGAAAGATTCTTTCTTCGACCTTTTAACTTCAAAACATTTAAAATCTTTCAACTACCTGGAAACTTTTTGTCTAAAATTGTCCCGGAGAAAGGACATGGGTGCTGATATACTATGACTGCAGTAATTACAATATCATCAGCATATATTATCAAAAATATAAAATCAATGTCAGGTCTATAAAAGCAATATGATCACAACTACCACTCTTCAAACCAAATTCTTAAATTATTTCTTTAAACATCATGAATTAAGCACGGTGGGTTAGGGACTTTTGCGGACTTCGGTTAAGTAACAAACCCTGGTGGTCCAAACTATAAAGCTACATGAAGACATATTTTTTGCATCTAACTGATGCAAAGGCAATATTGGTGGTAACAAGAGATATGAATAGGCAAGTAAATACAAATTTAACTATAAGGAAGAATATATTAAAATAACTGAGTTCAAAAGTTTGAGTATATACGTTAGCCATAGGTCGTGCTTTAAGATAAGTCGTAGTACCAATAAGATTGTGTTAAGGAGTGTACATTAGGATTTTATTAGAGTAAATAGTATATTGGTAATATTTTCTAGATCTGTGATTTTTATAATTAATATTATTTTCTTTTTTTGTTACTATTCACTTATATATGTAGGACTCAGATGATCAATAAAATATATAATTCATTACTTTAAGTTACAAAAACTATAAACTCTTGTATAAATCCTATTCATAATTCATTGCGAAATAAGAAAAACCATAAATGAGAGGCCAGTCTTCATAACTGACCACCACCAGCCACCGATCACCAGAAGCCAAGGCGGCTTCATTGCTGACAACACTAGCAACCCAGCTGCAAGTCGCAGCTTCCTCTTTTGCAATGCAAGCCACAAAACCACGGTCCCTCCTAGTGTCGTCCCTCCTGCAACTGCTCAGTCGCACACCGTCCTTGCTGGTCAGGTGCTCCAAACGCCGCAGTTGCTCTACTGATGAAGAATAGAAAAATACTATAAATGTTAAAACGCA